AGAATTCACTTTATCTTTCCTGATGATTTAACTGCATAAACATTCAAGGTCTTGTGTGAAATTCTAGAGAGCTGTGGAACTGAAGCTCAGAAAGTCCTGCTGTTCATAAAATTTGCCTTGTTGCACAAGCATAGATCCCCTCCCTCCCCCCCAACCTGACCTTTTTTTTGTTCGGGTTGTTTGTTTTTGGTTTTGTTTTTTTGTTAGGGAGTCAGGATAAAGAGATGTCAGGACATGAGAAAATAGGGCCACAGTTCACATTTGCCCTAACTGATCTAAGAAGCTGAAGAGCTGGCATCAGCTGACACATCAGTATGCAAATTTGAGGTTTGGTCTTTTTCTACGGATTAGAGACAAGCTCTACAGAACTCACACATTACAGAAGCAAAGAAGTATCAGCAACTCAAGCATCTCTTCCGCTATACCATAAGACTGCAAGAAAAAAAACCTGACAAATACAGTACTTTAAAATAGTGGTTGCAAGGGAGAGTCTGCAGATCTCATTCAGCATGGAAGAAGAGGAGTAATACGCAGTATGGCCCACTAATGATTGGGAACAAGAAAAATGCACTGAGTCTAGATGAACTCCAGCTATATATAAGCTTAAAAAGACGTGAAGTAATCCTGAAGCAACTTGCGTAAGGCTGTGATGAATTCTCCATCATTTGAGAATTCAAAATTAGATAATACCTTTCACAAAAGATACGCGCTAGCTTATCCAGAAGTTATGGCATAAATTACAGGGTGGAGTTTTACTGGACTGTGTTATATTTGGAGGGGTTTGGACTTGATGAATGTAAACATTTCAGACTGAAAGGGATTGCTGTGAGATGACAGATAAGATTCTTCTGATAAGATCCTATTTACTGCTCTAAAAACAAAGTCAATTTAGCTGCAATACACCAGTTACCACCAAATAATCCCAAACATTAACTTGCAATTACAATCTTCCTTATTGTCCTTCTATACCCAACAGAATTATAATTATAAATTATACACTGAGTACAGTTGTAAATAGAAACTGATTTTTTAAGTGTGGGCCTGGAAAAAAAAAACAACCACTGCTTTAACTGATTCATGATAGTTTTCTGAAGAGATGACCCTTCCTAAGGATTTATAACCAGGAAATACGTTTCACTGAGATACAGCCCAGAGAAGGAGAGTCATATTCTAGCAACACATCCAGCATTACAACATATAAAGCACCACATTGTCAAGGTGTTGGACAGCCAGACCTCCGTGAGGCTGGATCTATGGGAGTTGATATTATAGATGACAGAAGCCTCAGAGTAAGCGGATTAAAAGGAAAAAAAAGAAAAAAGCAAGAGAGTCAGAAACATTAGATCTAAGCAACTCACCTGAAAAGGAGCCTTTCCTGTCAGACACTGATAAATGATGGTTCCTATACTCCAGAGGTCAGCTTTGGCATCGTAGTGTTGAGACATAATGACTTCTGGTGCCTTTTTGGGGAGAGAACAGAAATCTGTTTTATAAAAGATGTAGCTTTTTTTTTTTTAAGCAGCTGCAAGAAAGAAACAGAAGTCACTATTATGCTTTAAAAACCCTTGAGCTAGATTCCCCAATAACCGTGAAAGATTTGCTCCTGAAAAGACTGTAACACTACCTCGAAAGGGCAATTCCCTACCTAAGTGGGGAAAGCAGAGACTTTCATTCAGGCAGACAAAAAAAAAAAATCCTATGCTGTTTGGCTACTTTGGGCAAACTCATTACTTTCCCTTCTCAGCGTACTATTTTCTGCTGAATCCACCTGTGCTCAGAAGAAGCCTCGCTGAAATCGCACAGATGGATCTCCTAAACCAAAGCAAGTAACAGGCAAATGATCAAGAAAAGCAAAGGCTCACACTGCACAGGTAAGCTTCAGCCTCCATCCTGATCTGCACCACTTATGCACTTTCCTCATTTAGCCTAAGATGGCAGCATATTAATTATGCTCCAGAGCCCGCTGCCAAGGTCACAGTTTGGGTCCAAAGGCAGATCTGTGCATTTCAGTCCAACAGCTTGAGCCCTGCTGTGCCTCAGACTCTGGTTTCTAATCTCACACCATGCCCTCGGTTGCTCCCCCCCAGGCTTGTTCCAGAAGCTGGAGACGGTGCAAATCCACAAAGCCCCATGGCTCAGGAGGCAGCATGCCTTAGGAGTGGCAGCAGAAGAAGAGGGACAGAAGGGCAGGCTTGCTAATCCCACATGTTTGTAACAACAGATTTCATTGCAGTGCTGCCAGCATGGAACAGGATCAATTTTCTAGCTCTGTTAGAAGTAAGGGCCACATGTAATGGAAAAAAAAAAAGGGCGGCAAACAAGTTGTGGACAGGAGCTCGGTCTGCCCTAAGGGAAGTAGGCATGACACCAAACAAAGCCAAGAAAGTGGGACAAGAACTGCACAAGGAGGTTTCAAGTCTCACGTGACATGGATCATATCAGGGTATGGGTGTGGGTTAAGATACCTTTCTTTTTTAAAAGAGCAAAATGAAAAGAGCAGCAATGGGCTATGAGCTAAAGCAGGGAATAAGGGCCTGCCTTGCCAGCAGATGTTCCCAGGGCTACCCTATAAGATCCACAATAGCAGCAGGGACAGACTTCAAACACCCCCTAAATCCCAATTAAACCCTCCCTCCCCATCTTCCTTCAAACCCATCAGTAAACAGAGAACAATATGAAACATTCTGAGATTCCTTGTAATGTCCAGAGTTGTTTAAAATAAAAAAAATAAAATAGAAAAAAGTCATCACTAGGTTCCTCCAGCCCTTTCAAAAAATAAGCTGGGTGTTTTCATTTACTTTTACAAGAGACTCCGAAAGAAAATATATCACTAAAAAATAGACAATTCAGGAAACTCTCACAGGAGAAAGTTACATCATCTTCGCATATAGCACAGTTCAAATAAACATCAGGCTTCAAAAAAAGGGAGAGAGAGGAAGTCTCTTTTGCTTGAGTTAGTACTGTGGAACTGACTACCAAACACGCTACCCCTGTGCAGTGCAGCACAGTCCAGCCTAATTCTGCTCAAAGAGTACAGACAAAAAACTTAAGAGTGGATTAGACCATGTTCAAAATCAGGTGCCTACTGCCCCGGGGCACTTGTAAAAATTTCAACCTAAATTGATCCACATCATCTTTTTACTTTGAGCTCACACACCCATGTCCCCAGGAACTATTACATGGCCGGCTTTGACGTTTTTATTTCTGGCCTGGTTTTGTCATTTTTAATTTCACTGACTTGATACGACACCGAGATCTCGACTGCTGCCACGAGTACAAACAAGAGATCACCTCTTCACATCCTGGTCCCAGAGTGGGAAGTACAAAGGGGGATGAAAGGGATCAGTTTGTTTTTTTAAAACACATCTGTTTCACAAGCTAAGAAGTCACCCTGGAAGCAGCTGGTTTGGTGAAAGAATTAGTGGGGGGGGGAAAGGTTAGGGAGTGGGAATGCACGAAACATAAATTGCAAACAGAAGCAGGTGAGCTCTGTTTACACCCATCTGCTGAGCTGCACAGCAAAGCATACTCAGGGGTATGCTAGCCAGAAAGGCAAAATCTCTGCCTGCATAGGTCCACAGATCTGACGGGATTTTGCAAGACCAAAGAGCTAAAAACAGTTGGAGATTTTACAAAAGTGCTGTTAAACAGGGACCTTGCTCCTGATGCTGCAGCCTTAGCAAGAATGACTGCAAAGCCCGAGGTGACAGCAGGCTTGTGGAACCACTCTGTCTCAAAAGGGCCTGCTGAAGCAGTGATTTACTGAGGTTCCTCTCCAAGGAAGCAACACCTCAAACATAGCCAGATGTGTGAAATATCACCCCAGCCCTCACTCTCCTTTGTTGTTGCTTTGCTCACAGCAGAGGAGATAGATTTCATTTCCCAACGCCTTCAGTGGAGAGGCCCTAGTCCCCTCTGGAAGATGCCGTTTCTGGGAGCAGACAGCAATCAATACTCGGTTTTGTTCAGTTTTATTTATCCACAGCTCACCTGGAAGTTAGATGTCAACACAGGCACCTATTGTCCAACATTACCAGCAGCTAGAACTTTATGAAGTCTCCCTGTGTAATAGCTGGTTTCTGACAAGTAAATAAAATTTCACCTTTGGGGGAAAGACTAGCAAAAAATAAAGCCTTGCTTCTGGGGGGCAGAGCGAGAACAATACAGAAAAACCTGTAGGCAAAACACACTTACCATGTACATTGGTGAACCACACAATGTTGCTGCCATCATATTATTCTGCAGATATCGGGCAAACCCAAAGTCAGCTACAAAGAGAAACAGAGGTAGGCCAGGATCAGACACCAGTTCTAGAGAGCCTGCACCTTCTCCAGTTTATTCCCCCTGCTTTCTTTTCACTTTCCATGAACCTTTGCAGCAAGTGAAGTACCCCATCTTAACAAGACTTTGATAGCCCTCTTCCAGAGCAGCAATGTCCTTGTGCTAGTTATTAATGCACACTACAGACACTAGAAAAAGACAGACCAAGCCACAAAAGAAGCATTTGGAAGAACAAACTTCCATCCATTTTTCAGAGAAAAACAGTCACTTCTTCCTGTACCCATTTGCCTGCACTCAGCTGCTAGAAGCTGGTAAAGCTGTCTTGACTTCAGCGAGAGCGTGCCAGTTCACACCAGCTAGTTCATCGGCTGCTATCTCAACTTTGAAGTTGGGTAACTGCAAGTTCCCCTCCATTGAAAAGGCTGCAATGTAACAGGCATCCAAGAGAAACCACTGCTCGCCACCACCCACATTTCTAGACCAGCCCTACTGAAAACAGCCTTCCTCAATTTCTTTAGAAGAGTTTCAACAGTGCTAACCCCAGCACGAGGACAGAAAGCTGAGCCATAGTTCACCTGGTGGCTAGAAAAGCCGGGGACAAGGAATACCAAGATGAATTACCTCTGCAGGTTACTCAGCATCTGATCATATGATACTTAGAGGTTCTCTCAAGGTTACCAGATATTTCAAGCTAGGAGATTGACACAGCTGTTTACACTGTCATCTGTCAGTAACGAATTGGTATGGCTAGCTATTCCCCAGACCACGTACTTCCCAGGGAAGCAGGAGGGAGGGGTTGCAGGGTACATCATGCTGAAGAGCAGCCGTGCCCGCAGCCCTCCTGCCTGCGTCTGCGGCTCCCAGTCACTTCCACCTTCCAGGTAACTCTGCACTTCACAAAAACCACTTCAGCCAAATGAGCAGCAGTGTTTCAAATTTTTCCACTGGACCTCATTTCTCAGCTGAATGAAAACATTAACACTTTCTCCACAGCACAGGGTTCAGGCAAGGAACAGTTTTATCTAGTTGGTGTCAGCTTCAGCTTGTGAACTGTAATATAATCAAAAGTCCACATGTTGAGGGTGATATCATCCAGCACTCATTTCTGAGGGACCACAGGGGATACGTGTGCTCTGTAACTAGATTTCTGGAGCATTTGTCCCAACTACTGGTCCATCCGTGCCACTGGCCTAATGTGCAAAAAGTGAATTTCTTCAAGATGCAGCTGAGAAGCCTGCCTCTAATTTGGACTGTGAAAACGCCTGCTTTCAGGTGCGCCTGACTCCCACTGCGCTCTCTGAGGCCAGCCAGGAGAGCAGCTAGATTCAGGCCTTAAGACAGCAACATTTACCTCAATTCTATTAAAAGCTGAAGACAAAGAGTCACAATGGCTGCTCATTTCTTGGTAAGCCTGGAGATTACAAGCCAATTAGGGCCGGCTGGTGTTCGTTTTTACCACGGGAGGCACTGTTCAGCTTGGAAGCGGAGCAAGGCCTGCCCAATTTCTTTTGCGTTAGTCTGTGTCCTGGCAGAGCAGAAAGCTCTTGCTCCCACTGCTTGGAGCCAACTAATGGTTATGTCTAGCAGAGGAACTAAGCGAAGAAGATGAAAAAAAATTAGGGCGTTTTAAGAAGTGCAGCAATTCTTTCCTCCCCCTAGATAGTTCCCCAAAGAAAGATTGAGTCTTGCCACTTATCCGTCACCAAACTCTCCCGAGAGCTCTTAGGGTGACGTTTGTAACAGGGTCTTACCGATCTTTATGCGAATGTTGTTGGGATTTGATTTCCTGCCTCCCGCGTAGGAAAGGAGGATATTCTGTGGCTTCAGGTCCCGATGGATGATGCCTTTGCTGTGCAGCATTTTCATGGCACCTGCTATCTGCTGGAGAAAGAGCCTGATGGTGTCTTCACTAAGTGTCCGCATAGCTAGGGAGGAGGAAAAAAATGACTACAGATGAAAAAAATTACCATGCTAGTTCTCTGAAGAGCCCAGAGGGCAGATTCTCCACAGCAATTAGCCATAATGTGGCATCTTTACTTCTACATATGGCGTTTTTTCTCCACACGCTATTTCTGAATGATTCCTACAGGCAACAAGGGAGAGCGTTTGCATTCCCAGCTTATTCTGTGGTCAGGGCTGTTTTCAGCCCCGAGTCTCTCATGGTGAACTCAGGCCAGTGGCAGGAGCTAGATTCGGGTTATCAGCTGGGTCCAGAAAGTGACATTTGGTGAGGTTTAGGGCTTCCCTCAGCAAGAGCTGCCAGACAGATCTAGGCAAGCACTAGGCAGGGCCTGTGGCCCAAGCAGTGGCAGGGTCACTACCTTTGAGCTAAGGTCAATAGCGGTTGGATACCTAAGGTCAGAGCTTTACCACAAAGACTACGTCTAAAGGTGGAGCTAAGAGGAAAGGCAGTTAGGATTAGAATTTATGCCTGCAAGAATCAGTAAGGCTTATGCTTGGCCTGGAAAGGGTTGGTAGGTTAAATTCAGACAGTTGGTTAGGGCACATGGCCAGCAGGGATCTGTAACTTCGGGGTACAAGTCCAAGCCTAGGCCTAGTCCTTGTGCATCATCATCCGCTAGACCAAACCGTAATTCTAATCCCAAACCCAGTGTTAGGGTGAACTACGGTCCAATACCTAACAACATACCCCTACCAAATGGCCCCTACAAACTGTCATCTGACACCCTCCATCTTGCATCCATAGATGGAGCAAGAACGGTTTCATAAGCAAATGTAAAAAAAAAATTAGTAATCAAAATCTGCAAATATGGAAACTCTGAACTGCACTCTCCTGAGATATGGGCTTCCCAAGAACTGTGGTGTGAAAATAAATATTGAAGGGATTAAAATAATGTTCAACTGGCTCTTCTAATCAGAGCAATGCGACATTAGCTCTCGTTATTTTAAGAACTATACATATGAAAACTCTTGCC